GTCAAATATAAAGTTTCTGCGCTTGCAACCAAAACCTGTTTGCTAAAGACGTTGTTTCCATACATTGTTTTATACTGTAGATGCAGTGCTGTCTAGAAAAATAGCAGATGTTTTCTCGCAAACTGGACATAACACTTTCTTATTTCGTACAACTAGTAAATAACTTCTTTGTCAGTTTGTTGCAGTATTGTAGAGAGATATTTTCTCAGTCATTTTGGCTTGAATTTTGCATTTGATAATTATACGCCCCCCCCCCCCGGTTTACCGTCACATTGGGTGTGGCATCGAGCAGAGGCTTCGCGCCTTCGTAGCCAATTAAAACCTCTGCGGAGGGGAGAGACTCTTTAAGGTAAGCTGATCATCAAGTTCTATTCCTATGAGAGTTACTGATTCTGATTTAACAATATTTTCGTTTCCGATTGACAAGCAGGGAAAATCAGAGCAGTCTCGACGAGGACCTATCAAAACCAGGAACTTTGTTCTATCATCATTGAGTTTCACCATGTTCTTTGTCATCCAAATTTTTATGCCATGCATCAGAGATTCCATTTTAGCGATGGTTTCCAATCTATTTTCATACTTAAAGGATATGCATAGTTGGCAATCATCAGCATATATATGAAACTGTACACTGTGTTTGCGTGAAATATCCCCCAGTGGCAATATGTATAGTGTAAAAAGTTTTGGGCCAAGTTCTATATCTGAATGTTTTCCATCAATGTTAGAGAGGTTAAGATACCCCGATTCCGGTTTACGGGTACAGATGATATAGACGTACCCGTACCCGTAAATCGGGGAATATCTTGTAACTTAAAAAATCCGAGATACTCCGGCGTGAGAAGACCGATCAGAGAATGGCAACTTTCGCTGTTGAGGTTCGCAATAAATTGTTGAAAACTTTGACCAGCATATGTGCATTATTTATTTGGGTAAGTAGTTGAAAATTTGTCTATTTAAACGGCCCAAAAATAGCAAACAGACGACAGCCGTACGCGTTTGTCGTTTACGTGTAGACCATGGTTTACCGCGGGGAAATTAAGGGTAAAATTGCTGACATCAGCAAAAATTGGTAAAGAAAGTGGCGATACTCGTACCCGTAAACCGGAACCGGGGTATCTTAACCTCTCTAATAACTCTTGTTGCACGGTCGCTGAGATAGGAACGAAACCAATTCAAACACTGCCCAGAGACACCCAATCGACTTTCGAGCAGACGCAACGAAATACTATGGTGAATGGTATCAAATGCAGCACTCATATCAAGGCTTTATGTGTTATTACAAACTCATCAGACGATATTCTTTTGTATTTTGTCGGTTTTTAACTCTTTTGTAATAACCTTCTATCTGAAAGCAGGCGTTGGTATTCGAATTCTCCGGGGGAATTACGGGGTTGAAGGTTATTACGGGGAAATAATAACCGGGTACCAGGTTAATATTTTGAGGTAATAGCTTGGTAACTGGTTATTACTTTTCGTAATAACCTGGTACCCGCGGTTATTACGAAAAAATAATAACCGGTTACCAGGTTTTACATCTTCAATTCAAGACCTGGCATGAGTGTTGAATTCGGAAAACTCAACACCCACATCTCCTTTTCGACTAGAAAACGCTGCATCACAGAATAAGGTATACAGAAGCCGACTTCTTCGTTTTTCCTATGATTTTCCCTGCCTCGCACCCAGGCGCTTTAAATAATTACAATACATGAAGTATTTAGGTAGGTAGGCGATGCGCGAAGGGGCTGTTGGGAAGGGTGCGTTCTGGGGAGCGCGAGGCAGTTCTTGTATACTGTCATGGCGGGAAAACGTGGAATTTAATACAAAACGTTACCATATATCGTGATATACTCTGTGTGCAAAACCTTATTTTTTTACGAAGAGTCGAATTGAACGCCATTGGCAAATAATAATAAATTTAACAACATAAAACGCTCACTGAGTTTCCAGCGATATACATACCCTTTTCTAGATATATACCTAATAATAATAAACGAACGAACGAATGTATTCCTTCCACTCGTGAGCTCATTTACCATTGCCACATATAGTAAATGTCCAGGCCTTGTGACCCTGGATGGGCACTTAAAATATATCTAGAAAAGGGTATGTATATCGCTGGAAACTCAGTGAGCGTTTTATGTTGTTATTTTAATCCTGAGTACGGGTCTTCGACCAATTTCATATTGTTAATAATAAATTTGTAGATGTTTGATGACATGCAAAATGCGCGAAAAATTATGAGTAAATTACATTAAATTATGAGTAAATTTACCGTGCGAATATTACGAATATGCTATTCGGTATTACATGGAGAATAATAGAATGCTATCAGTTACTTAGTATAAAATAGTAACAGAGAGATGATTATAAAGTCATACATGTATACTTGCTTTTGTATTAATAACCTCTTTAGCTGAAGGCTCGATCAGTCGATCACAATGCCAATGGCAATTTCTGTTAAATGTATACTGTAAACAAAAGCCGAAGTAAATAAAAATTCACAGCCGTAAAGTTTGAAATATTTAATACAATAGGGCAATTTTATAGTTTGTACCTTTATATAAAGTTATAGCTTACAAATCTAGTTCCTGCAAGTCTAGTTCTTCAACGCTTCGGTTGTTGACAAGTTAATATTGGAATTTCCATGGACTTTAAATAAGGCATATGTCATATATAACAAAAATAACAGCATGAATTCACGTCCAGATGACAGAAGAAAATTAACATTAGTCAATTCAACAAAAGAAGTACCAAAAAATCGTAAACGACAACGAAATATCACAACTTGCAAGAAATCGACTTTCTTGTAAGAAATCGACCAAGAACTGCCAGGCGTCTCGCAGTTCAGAATATTTATCATTCGGCGCATGAGGACTAGCTGGATCAACCATCAAACTTGCTTGTGCAGGGAATTTATACAGTATTATCTGCTGTTTCGCTTGTGGGACGTGAAATGATATACTGCGCATGTTTAACGACTTTAGAACGTATTAATGCGCATGTTACACCTTATTTCGTCCCACAATCGTAGCGATCTCTCGTTGAATTTTTAATGAAGAAAACCTCCAAAATACACAAGAATATGGTCTGATGAGCTAGTATATAAACAAGTTAAAAGCCGCGGATATCGGTTTTTATTAAACTGTAAAGACTTCGGGCCTTCGACCCTCGGTCTTCACAGTTTAATAAAAAACCTTTTCCCTGGCTTTTAACATTTATTTTATAGTTTTTTGACAAAATTTATTGAATGTAATTCACTTTGTTATAACCTAGACAATCACGTGCAAAAATAATGAGATTTTACGTATTTCCAACATTTTTCATTTTGACACATCTACACTCATATAATTCGATCTTTTGTTACTATTTCCACCTCCTCCCATTGACAATGTTGGTACGGTATATATATGGTACAAAACTGTGGTTTGGTATAATGGAAACAACATTGTTTTGGGGGGGAAGTGGGGGGCGAATAGGATATCTCAATAATTTTTGCTCTTGATTGTCGATAGATAGATACAATTTAATAACAAAGATATTAAAGATTACGAAATACCCTGACACGACACTCGTTTCTTTGTCTACTTCGTGCCAAACCAAAAAGGGAAAGTAATTATCATACACATGCAACCTTTCTCTGGTTTATGCCTCTTCGTCGATTTCATTAACTTAAGGGGGTCTTCCTCCCAAAAAACTTTTTTTTTCAATTTAAAGGTTTTATCATCAAACTTGAGTCAAATAAGATGGAATATCCTCAGCTGACGCAGGATCAGTAACTTTTACATTCGTCGTTGCCATAGTAACTAAGATAGGCCTCGCTATAAGGTAAAATATAGGGTTTGCTCCAAAAATGATGTGAGCCAAACTAATTTATCGAGGATTTTAGAAACAGCTTTAATGGACACTTAATGCATGGATCTAGGTCATGAACCTAAAAAAATATACAAGTAATATAATAAGGCCTTCATGTTTTACTTTTTTAAAATTATATGAAGAAAGGAGTTCTTATAAGGCTACTCTTACAATGTATATTGCTGATATATGAAGTTTTTTAGGTCCATGACATGCTATGTAACAAGCAAATAAACTCTGAAAATTTCGAAAGAATTGATTCAGTATGAACAGTAGGAGAGTTTTTAATATTTCGCAAAATGCTCATGTGAGAAAAGAGATTTTAAAGTTTTTGCATATATTAGAATAACTTAGATAGAACAATATAATTGAAAATGGAACAATAAACTAAACCAATCGCATATCTTTATCGCTCCGGGTAAAATCGTGGTTTTACCCTACGAAGGTGTAGAATTTTCTGGATTTCTCTGGTTTACGGTACATTTTCGTTCTTAAAATTACACGGATCTTATAAAGAACGCTATAAAAACTACATTTTTACGTTTTTCTAAAAAATAACAAATATTGTCGCTGTTGTCTATACTTTCTTTATGTATCAATATCGTATCTTTTTCTGAGTCTTGAAAGTGCCCGCATCCTCCACCAATCTTAATAAACGACCCTCGTAGGCCTATCGCATACAGTTTTCTCAATTTGCCATCGAGTATACATTTACGCTTAAGGAGGTCCTGAGTCGTATTGCTCAGATTTAATACAACACCTTGTAGAGGAAACATAACGTTTCAATATTTTATTATGTTTGCGCGGTTTCGCCTTTAGTAAAACTCTCTTCTAAAATATCTGCTATAAGAACTAGTGTCTTTGTTGCCTCTTTTTGTCTATTGTGCATTGTGCATTATGCATTATGTACTGCATGTGCATTATGTATACTGTGCATAGTGCATTGCTTATAGCTCATTACGTTTCTTGATGCGTGCGCATCCTAATTACTTCTTCACTAATATCCGAAAATGTCTTGCATTAGTAATAGCAACCATAAAATTCGGCTCGCATAGAGATATGAACATTCCAAGCAATTGGTTGAACGCGAATAATATCAGCCACAATTGAAGGTGCAAAAATGTGATTTACGATAGAATTGCCGTCACTGTTTCCTTCAAATATCTAAAATCAAAACGAACATAATAAAAACAAAAGTTAATTATAATTTCTTGTTTCTCACAACGAAGACCACAATTCAGCTAACCTCAGGTATTCCATTTGGTTCATAATTATGGAATTTTGCTCCATCAACGCTGAAAGAAATCGTGTAATTTTTGACATGCTGATTATGATAGGAATCACGGCCTTGAGTACTTATTCCTGTAATGATGGTCGATCGTTCAAAATCCACTTGCAGCCATTGATTGCGATCCCTTATTCTTGCTGACCATGCCCCAATTGTTCCGCTTTTTGGTGTGTAGTTTAGCCTTCCATTAGATGCGCCGTAATATCTGCCATATTCGCTAGATGCTGTGATTTGATTATCACGAATTGTGCCATTCTCCATTCCAAGAGCCATTGCATTTTTACATCCTGCGAATTTATAATAGGTTAAAAATAGAAACTTCTATCAGCGACGTAAAAGGTAATAGTCTGACAAAAATTTTAATTTTAATTTTCGCCTGATGCAAATATTCCTGCATTTCACCGCAGAAATTTAAGCATGTATATCTAACGAGGCATTTGCTGTATATGCACCGTATATTGGTAAATAAATAATAAAGTATATAAAGAGTAATAATGCCCCACACACACACACACACACACACACTCAATATTGATTTACCTCCGGCGGCCTTGATATTTACATATATTTACGCGGTATCTATTTCGTAAATTCATTAATTGTTGTTTAAGTTAAAATTATTATTGTTATTATTTTCTATTTTGAACAGAAGATGTTAAAATGTCGAAAAAATTTAGCTTGGGCAAACGTTCCGCACAGCGCGACCAGGCTTCAGTGTTGGCCATTCGGTTGCTAGTACTTCATGCGTAATCATGAGGAGTTGCTGCATGGATGTATTTCCATGTAGGCATATATGATGTTAAAAAATATACGTGCACTTACCAATTGAGGAAATGCCAGACGTTGTATCCTTTGTTGAGTTTTTCAACTAATAAGAAAAAAGCGATACTTTGATAATACAGACTGTACTGTACGTTGATGAATAACTTTTATCATAATTCTCTCTGTCACATATTTCATGCATAGCATCGCAGACGTTCTGCCTTTCAAGTAATCCTTGCGAGATACTTTCATCGGAGAACGTATAGCTACAACGCATGCGAAAAACGTTAATAAAAAATAGAACTAGAAAATACATGCATGCAGAAACCCTCGCCTTGCTGAGAAAACCATTGTATTTTCCGAACATGAAGTATCTAAAGTAGTTGTCATGGTAACACGATGATTTTTAAGAATATTCTAACAAATGAAAAATCGCCTAAAAATATCACTTTTACTTACAAAATTAACAATTTCCAAACATATATGTGTTAGGTATGTTGTTATACGTATTATAAGCTTCGATTTAAGGTAAAATTCAAACACAAACGCTTCACAAAACGCTTTAAAGTGTTCTTTATAAAACTAAACTGCCTTTAATTAAATGGCTTTAATCCTTTATCGATAAACTTTGCGTTTGCAATAAAATGATTTCAAATTCTCGCATGCAAATAACTTTCCTTTCTTTTTTATTTAAAAAATTCAATATAATAAAAAAGGGAATCAATATTAAAATTACGCTGAAATTATATGCTGTCTTGTTTAGTTGTTTCATATACGCAAAGGCCGTCTGGTTTTAAATCCATTATAGGCTAAAATATAAATCAATATTTGAAACAAAATTACATTCGTTAACGTCGGCGCCTTTCTTTTTGCCGATTCTTTCGCCTTCTCTTTATGAGAAAGCTTTTGAAATTTACAAAATCTTACAAAAATGCGAGCAAAAATAAAATATATTTGCAAGAAATTCATCAATCACCAAATCAAGAAATGTTTGCTATTTCGCTGTTGTCATGCAGTCGTTATAATGCAAACTTTAAATTGGACCAATCAGTATCTGCTATTCATGACAGTCCGCAATATACTTGAGATCAGTGAGGATGACCACCCATCGTTGGTCACCCTCGCCCGCGATAATTGATGAACTTTAGACTTCGCTAATGCTTTCGTTTCCCCGGGGGTGTAAATAGCCGGGGGGATTAGTACCCTCGCACGGCGCTTTGCGCCCGTCGTCTCGGGAATAATGCATTAATGAATTTAACAATTATATCGTACGCTCGAGTCGTATATGAACTCCGTAGCATTGAGTCGAGTATGAGCCACATACGTCGAGTGCGAATTAATGCCATATTTATTATCGTTTTTTATTATATAAAGTATAGTGCTTTATAGAGATTTCGAGCACTGATAAAAGTGATAATCTCAAATGTGAGATTATTTATGATGATCTCATATGTGAAAATTATATCGCTTTTCAATTTTTGCTTTTCTGTAAAAATGATCGCTTTTCAAACACTGTCTTTTATATAATAAACAGAAAAATACATGGGTGCTTGGAAATACCAGATTTATTTCTCGAGTTGAACATGATATCTCACTCGTTCGCTGTGCTCACTCGTGAGATATCATGTTCGAAATAAGTCTGGTATTTTCGCGCACCCATGTATTATTCTCCATGTAATATATTCCTATATAATGGTAATTGAACTGAGTGGAATTCAATTTGGACTGAAATCAAACGCGTGATTACAAAATCGCACGACCGCGAAGCGGGAGTGCGATTTGTATTCACAAGTTTGATTTCAGTCCAAAATTGCACGACACGAAGTTGCACGACACAAAATTGCACGACACGACACCTCCCTGAGTGCTGTATTATAGTAACAGTAAGCGAACAAGATGAAATTTTTTGTAAGTTTTGTTTATAAATACGATCAAATACTGCAAGAAATGCTAAAAATCTTAAAAAAGTGAAGACATTTATAAAGATTGAGAGACAACACAAGTAAGTTTAAACATATTATAGTTCTTACGAGTGATTGAAAGAGTTTTGGTGCAGTTTTGTGCGTTTAAAATAGGAAATACGATAGGCGGATTTACCTTTGTTTTCCTGGCGTCCTGTCTGTCCTGACGCTTTAAATTTGCTTTTGCTGGCATTTTTGCATTTGTGAAATTTCAAAAGAATTAAGGAGGCTCCGTAGGGTTTTTTAATTTACTACATTGTCATGGCAACAGCATGCTTAGAATAAAGCTCAAAATTTGTCTTTTTCAGCTTATTTTAAAAATTCCCTTCGGTGAAATTTTTAAAACTTTGCATAAAAGATAGTACTTGTATAATGACTTTTTCCCCTCAATTTAAAAAAAATTTAATCGATACGCTTCTTAGCAAATTTAAAAAACGTCAAAAATCAATATTAAAAATTTTCCCTTCGATTTAATTTAAAAAAAAAAGGATATTGCACTTGCTGTGCCGATATTTAAAAATTTGCAAAGTTTTAAACAATTTCAACGATGGAAAAGGGAGAAATTTGGGTTCAATTTTGGCAATTTTTACGGCTAGATTTTGACGCGAACAATTTAATACCCCCAACTGACGTGTACATGCATTTTGTATAAAACAACAAGGCATGACTTTTTTGAAATGACAAAATATAAATTATGTTTGATATACTGTTTATAACTGTGTCGGTTAATGGTCAACTAAGCGTGGATTATATATGTAAAATTGGCAAAGATATTTAGGTAATTACTGGTTATGATTAATTTGAAAAATGTTTGTCAAAATTCGTCCCGTGCGAGTTAGTACTATCGTCGGATGTTTTCCCAAAATGCCCATTCAAATTTCAGTTTTTATAGCGGCATGTTTGGAATTTCGGCCCCGCTTATTTCACCCGTAGAGGGCCCATTATTCAAGTCATCTTTATTGTCATAAGTGCTGCTAGATTGGGCATAGTACAAAACATGGACTGGACTGGACTGGACAGTTGGACTGGACTGGACTGGACTGGACAGTTGGACTGGACTGGACAGTTGGACTGGACTGATTTTTACATTTTCTCTATTCTTGACTTGCACGTCACCCGCCATGTCAGGTGGCATGGCACAAAAGAATATTTTATCACAGAATAGATATACCGTGTCAAGTATTTTGTGATTTTATCAATGAACATTGTCTGGTGTGTACCAGGAGGAGATTGATTGCAAGTCAAGAATATAACGTTTTGCACCTGAATTACTTTTGATTTTCGGAAATTGAAATACTTTACCTTCGCCGATGACCTCACTTTATGACTGGAGTGAAATCTCTTAAAGCGAAAGAAACCCCAGTAAGTAGAATAGAATACAATACCAAACATAAACTACTTATCTGTCTTTGCTATGGGTAGCCTGCTCGCATACGTATTAAATTTCGATATTTCAGTCTGCATGGCCATGGGCATAGAAAGATAGATAATTGGCAGGGGGGGGCAGGAGCTCATATTCATATATTTGTGGTCTGCATCATTAACTTCTTTTGAATTTGATTGTTTTTACAGTCTGCGAACATGAATATATGAATATGAGCCCCCCCCCCCCAGATCTTCCTACGACCATGGCAATACGTATCCGAGCAGGCTACAAAGTAGTTTATGTTTGGTATTGTATTCTATTCTTCTTAGGGGCCGACCATTTAACTTTTGGTGGGGATGGGGGAGGGGGTGATTTCCTGGAAGGCTATTCTGAACAAAAGAAAATGCCTGCACTAACAAACTGGGGGGAAAAATATCCTGCCCCAGTATTTGGTGGAGGAAAAAATGTTGCAAAATAACATGGTTGCAGGGATCGATTTGACCAGTCCCAAAAGATCAGCTGGTTTGATTTTCGGAGACTATAGTGTAAGGTTAATTTCTTATTGGAAAACTTCTGAAAATGCTGGAAATAGCTTATCTGAGCTTCATAAAATCCACAATTTTCGGGGGGGGGCATGCCCCCAGACCCCTCTAGAGGCTTGCACCTTCGGTGGTCGACTCGGTTGTCTCAGAATCCTAGTTAATATTGGCTTGATCTGCTGCCCTATGGCGTATACTTATTAGTTAAGCCATGCATATATATGCATGCTGGTAGCTGCAGTGATACAGACTTGCCGACTGGAACTTCTCCAGGTCCCCGTTAAATATGTCCCCTCCAGTTACACATCCGTAAAGAGGCCCTGAACCAAATCTTATACCTCATAGCAATATGTATTATTAAAAGCAATGCATGAAGATAGAAAACGCAACGTTAACTATTATTAATTAAAGAATCTAAATAGTATAAGCTATTGAAAAAAGAATGCT